AAAAAAAAAAAATTTTTTTAAAAAAACTTTCCTCTAGAAAAAAAAAAATAAAAAATACCCACCAAAAAAAAAATTTTTTTTAGACAGCTTCGAAAAACAAAAAAGTAATAATATCAAACAAAAACAACAACAACAACAATAATAAAAATTAGTATTTAAAAAAAAACCAAACAAAAAATGGGAATAAGTTTTGAAAATATAAAACGAAATCTCCCTCCGGGTCTAGAACTCTTACCTGGTGAAACAATAGAAAAATTCTTTGAAAAATCTAGTTCAATAATATTATATGAAGCTACAGTTGATGGCGGATTTATCGAATGTTATGGAAACATTGGTGGAGACTTTTATAATTTGGATGTAAATAATGAGGTATTTTTATTTTTTAAAAAAAAATTTTTTTTTTTTTCTTTTTTTTTTTTCAACAATAAAAACTTTTTCTAATCTTTCAAAATTCTTTTCCTCATTCTTTCCTCATTCTATTATATAAAGCCTACAGTATTAATTACCAATTATCGAATTTATTATCAACCATCAAAAAATATTTCAAAATTATCATCATCATCATTGTCATCTTTAGCTGATGCAATCCATCCTCGTGCAATACAAATACCGCATTTATCCATCTCACAAATTGATGAGTCACAAAATCAAATCATAATAACGCTAAAATTTTCCCCATTAAAATATTTATTTAAATTTTCTAAATCAAAACATAATAATACTTTAAATAATAATAGATCGACAAATTCTTTATGTCATGATTTTTCTTGTGTTTTAAAAAAATTTACAAATCCAAATAGCATTGAAAATGTTTTTGCCTTTCGCATGGGCGAAAATGAGATTAATAATAAAAGAGGAAATCATGAGAATGCTGGAAAGAAAAGAGAATTAACTGAGGCAGAAAAAATGTTTGAAGAGCTTTTTGATTCTAATACTAGTGAAGATGAAGATGTAGAAAATTATGCTAGAAATAGGGGTTTAGATGAAAATAAATATAAAAGAATTCAAAAGTTGGGTTGGTCTAAAGGTTATAATATTCAAAAAGAATTTGAGAGGTTGCAAATGAGTAAAGATTCTTGGTAAGTAATTAAATTTAAGAATTTATATTTCTCTTATTTCTTTATTAACAACGTTATTAATACCTCTCTCTAATAAAATTATCTTAGGAATATTGTATCTTATAATGATGATTTTACTTTATCTCCAACTTATCCAAAAGATTTTATTCTACCTTCTAGAATTCTTAAAACAGACGCGACTTTTGCTTGTGAATCATTTGATACAAATGAGGATTCTTATGAAGTTTCAACTGCATTTCAATCAAGTTCGGAATTTTTTAGAAAACTTGTAAATTTTAGAAAAAATGGTCGTTTTCCTTTAATTTGTTGGAAAAAAGGTCGTCATGTATTAATGAGAAGTGGTCAACCAATGGTATCAATATTAGGTTGGAGAGGTCTAGAAGATGAATTATTAATAAAAGATGTTCTTAAAGCTATTAATGAAGAACAACAACAATTAATTAATAAAAGTATTTACGCTAATAGCAAAAAAAAAATTGGTTTACAAGAAAAATGTACAAATACAAAAATTTGTATTTTAGATGCAAGAAGTTATTCTGCTGCATTAGGTAATGGCTTTGCTCGTGGTGGTTATGAAAAATGTGAAAATTATCCTCCAAATACTACTTTACATTTCCTGGGATTGTCAAACATTCACGCAATCTCTTCTTCACATGCTTCTTTATTAAATGCTATTGCAACTAATAGCTCAGCTCCTAAATGGTATTCCGTATTGGAATCTACTGGTTGGTTAGGTCACGTTGCTGATTTATTAAAAGCTGCTGGAGGAAAAGATGGTGTTGTCGGAAAAATTGTTGAAGAAGATGCAAGTGTTTTGGTGGTATGTAAAAAAAAAAAAAAAATTATTCAAATGCTTAAACAATTTTAAGTTAATTTTAATATAAGATCATTTTTTTTTTTTTAGCATTGTACGGATGGATGGGATAGAACAACTCAATTAGTGTCTTTGGCACAAATAATGATGGATCCATTTTATCGTACAATTAAAGGATTTCAGGTATTAATAGAGAAAGAATGGATTGCAATTGGACACCCATTTAGAGCACGGGGTGAACTTCCAAAAAATCTTCGAAACAATAATTCTATAATTTCATCCACAGAAGAAAATTCATCTTTCAGATCTAATCATCAAGAACCTATTATTGTACCATCAACATCCGCTCCGGTCTTTCTTTTATTCTTAACATGCGTACACCATTTATTACAACAATTTCCACGCGCATTTGAATATAATGACTTTTTTCTCTTATGTTTAGCAAGAGCTGCAGCAGGAAATTCACCTTATGGAGATTTTCTTTGTAATTCTGAATGTGAAAGAGAATATGTGCAATTAAGGGAAAGGACAAAAAGTATTTGGACATGGGTTAGAGAACACAAAGCATGGTTTAGAAATACTGGTTATGATCCAAAGATTAGAACTTATGATCCTATTAATATTTGGTTAGATAATAAGTGGAAGAAAGATGTATTGAGACCGGATACAGGAGCAAGATTAATCACTTTATGGACTGAATATTATTTTCCAAAAGATGACTTTTCTATAACGTTATTATCTACACCTCCAGGTTGCGAAAGACCCTTTTCAAATGGATTAATATCTGATCACTTATCTGATTTCGATTTAATTAGATTGTTAATGAAAAGAAAAGAGAGGAGAATCGCTGAAAAGGTTTGGAGAACCTGGAGATCTTTTGTATTAGAAAAGAAAAGCAAATCAGCGATTAATAAGAAAGATCATGATGATGTTATGTCATGTAATGGAGAAAATGATGAAATAGATATTGAATTGATCGGATCTTCAGTTTTGCGAGATAGTTATAATTTGTTACCAGAAAGTTCAAATAAATCAAATAAATCGGTCCTAGAAAGGCGAACTCAAGATAGGAATAAGATTGTTAAAAATAATTCGGAGTCAAAATTCCTTTTAGTTATGCCTCCAGAAAAACCAAGCTTTAATAAAAATTATTTAAACACACTTTCTCCAGCTTCTTCTTCCACCTCTTCTTCAATATATCTTTCATCAAGTGAATTATTACCAGCAAAGGAAGATTATTTTTCAGAAGAAGAACGAAAACCTGTTTATCCCATAAATGGGGAAGATGAAAGTCCATCACTTTCGCAACAACAATGGGTTTATTTATGTAAACATCATCAAAAAATTGATGATGATTCAATAGATTTATCACAAAAGTTGGCAGAATTACTAAAAGAAGCTCAATCAGAAGATCATTATTTATGTCAAAGTAAATGTCATGATTCGAAAGTTATAGTTGATTTATTAAAAGAAGCTCAATTCGATAATTCTTTATTACCAACATCAAGAACTCGACAGCAAACAAATATATCAACTAATACAACCCAGAGAATTACAAGAACTTCATCCACTTCACCTTCAAGATCTTGTAGAAGCTCTATTATTTGTACAAATAATTTTACAGATTCTAATCATAATTCTAATGAAATTAATTCCAATATTAATATAAATTCTATAGAAAATAGCCCACCTGATCTCGATTTTGTATTGGTCTAGGTTTTGTTGGGTGGTTTTTCTTTAAAAATAAAAAAAAAAAAGGTTAAAAAAGTTTTATAGTGTTTTAATTTATTTATTAGGTATTTTTTTTTTAATATATTATTATTTTAATTATATTTGGATGGTTCAAATTTTGGAAGTATTGGACGTTATTGGACGTTATTGGATGTTATTGGACGTATGAATAAGTGAATGAATTGGTGATAAAAAAGAAAAAAAAAAATTTTATTGATGGTTGGTTTTCCAAATGTAAATATAATTATTTATTATACATTGGTTTGCTAATTATATATTTTTTTTTTTTCGGTTTATATATATATATTACAATAAAAAAAAATGGTTACAACCTTTCTATTCAAAAAGTAATTTTCGGTTTCTCCTCAACTTAATCGTTGAAAGTTATAATTAAAAATTACACCTTATCGAACGACTGGAGGTTAAAGAATAATCAAAATAAAAAAGTTTAAATAATTTTTATTAGACAGTACAAGATAAAGGAAGTAGAAGAATAATGTGAAAGTATCGGATTTTCTCCGATAAAAAAAGTTAATAAGCAAGTTTCTAATTCCTAAAATATTTCATTTGCTCCGTTTTCCATGGTATTAATTAATAATTTCTCTGTATTTCCACTCATAGCTTGATTGAGGTCAAGGCTTATTAAGTATCAGCTGGCGATAGTGCCTTCCTGCTCCTATACGTCCATTCATTTATTCTTCTATTTGCTCGAACTAACTCATATCCTAATCTATAAGTTTCATTCCTTAATATAATACCAGATCTTCTTACTTAATTCATCACAATAAATTTGTAATCGATCTCGTTCACGTTACTAATTAAAGATCTGTGTAGAAGAAATGGAAAATAAGGTAGCAAAATATGGTTATATTACCTCAATATCATATATTATACATTCACTATTGCAATCTCAAAAACTTATCTAGAACCATGTTTAAATTTGATTTTTAATTTTAAATGCTTTAAAAGTGAACAAAAATTACGAAAATTAAAAATTTCTAATTTTAGGGTTGATGCAAGTAGTTTTTACATATATTTTTTTGTAACGTAAACGAAAGTGATTTATATAAATCGGATGAAAATAATCTTGTGGTAACAATGGAAATAATAGAAATGATATATACTATAGTGTAATCGTCGTCAATTTTCCTGCCACGTATATTATACCCGCTTTATTCACAGTTCTTTACACAGAAATATTCCTCCTCTTGTTCAAAATTATTCATGTGAAAGAGATACAATTGGGGAACTCAAGAGAAATATTAAAGCTGAAAGAAGTGACTTTGCCCATTTCGGCGCGAGCGAGCTTAAACTATGGCGTATATGCAAGAAAATTGAAGATGGAAAAAGCCTAACATTTAATAATCTTACTGAAGATAACAAACTTCTCAACATTTATGAAATTGGACAGATTTGGGATGAACCCCATCTAGAGGTTTTTTTCACGTGTTGATACGATTACCTGGTATTAAATATCATTCTTAGAAATGACTTGCAGGTACTTCAACTAATAACCTATTTTCCTTCCTCCGGTATCTTTTTAGAGTTCGCTCGATTAATAACTCTCAATTGCATTGTCTCTGGCTATAATTCGGAAAACTAATGTCCTATAACAATCTCTATGGGTGAGAAAGTTATCGAAATCTAGGATCAAGGAAAAGTGGACGCCTCGTTTTAGCAATATTACTTTAAGTGAACTTGATCTTATGGTTATTAATGAACCACCTGATCAGCTTATTGAATACGTACCGGAAATAAAAATGCTACCGTTGGATACAATTAATAACTATTTCAATGCTAATTCCTACACATATGATCCTTACCATATTCACATTATGGCGAGTTCTACATACTTGAAGGAGTTGTGTTGCGAAACCAAATATGAGAGTACTAAGAAAAATTTTCGATGGTGACATGCTCACAATGGTTAATATGAAGAACAGACTTCGCATGTGCTTTTCAGATCTCGACGGTGTTGAAAACCGACTTCTCCTCTCCTCTATAAATCAGATAAAGAATTTAATGAAAAAAGAATGCTTGAAGAAAGTGTAGTTTTTGGATTGATATGTTTAAGGTTAATATATTTATAATTATTGAGGTGGATCGGCTAGATAATAAATATTATTAGTAGTGTAGTATTATTTGTATTAGTTGAACGATTTATTAAATAATGCTGTATGATGATGTTTACCAAAGTAAACGGATTTTACATTAAAATTTCGCATATACCATGTTGTTATATAAAATCGATCGTATCGTCGAAAATCACGCGCTGAAATTTTTTGGTAATATTATAACCTACTTTTTTCTTCGCAAATTTCTTAGCAGAACCTGCATCACGTGAGGGTGACTTAGTCAAAATCTATGCTATGCGTAGTAATAGGCATCCGCAGTGAAAGACATACTACGCCATTGTATCATGTGACTGTGTATAACCGCAGTCGTTTATTTTAGCGCATTACGACCGGCCAGGAGAATTATTATTGTGTTGTTTTCGTCATACACTTTCCCGAAAGTTTCGGATCGTACGACAGGGCGTCATTAAAAAGAATCAAAAATGGAAATTAAGCGATTAGAATCTATGAATTGCAGATCCTCGGATACACGACAATTTTTTATTATCCTACTGACGTTAGCGCATTCAAATTACGTGTACAGGTTAATCACACATTAATCCATTTTTGAATAGGAATTAGTGATACATGTGCGATTCGTCATCTACAGATCTCGATCCATGATGAACAAATATTCCGATTTTTTGTGATTACAATTGGGTTGTGAACTCAAACAAAGATGTACCACATGCGATCTTCTTTTCGAGATCTTAGAAATAAACGGAAAATTTTGAGACACAGCATTGCTCCATTAGTTTCAAATTAAGTTATCATAAAACCGTAATTCGTCGGATTTTATTTTAAGCACTATTGTTAAATGCGCCTCAAATTCAGGGAGAGCCATTTGTTATTATTAGATGGGATCCAGGCCGTTATATAAATTGTTTTAGCTGAAAAAATATAATTATGAAAAATGTAGTTATGACAAATACACATAATAAAGCAACATAATTTTTATTAAATCGGGTTAAATTCTCATTTTCACGCGTAGTAGGCATACAGTATAAAATAAACCTTTTTCCAAGCGCATTCACGCAAGAGAATTGCATATTAAAAAAAAAAACATTCGTTAATATCTAATCTAAAAAAACTTGATCCACCAATAATCTCTTAATAAAATTACTACGCATCAATTTACCTAATCATGTCCAGTTTTTGCTCAACTCTTCGGAAGTCATGCCTTTTTTGACCTTAACCGCTGTTTTTTGTTCATTGGTCCAGTGTTAATCATAGGAATCGCTACTATGTGGTCAAATCTCAAACAAAAAATTTCCGATAAACTTTCTGCACGTGTCACTAGAATCGTCAATGATCTTGATATAAAAAATAATACACCGGAAATCGAAAACATCTTCAGTAAACTTACCGCGGAAATTAATACTAAAATCACCAATGAACTTTCCGCACGTCCTTCTGAAGTTAATTCTTCTTTCACTGCGGAGCTCGGCAAAAATAATAATAAACTTACCGCAGAAATCGCTAAAATCAATTCACGTGATGCTGGCTACGCCTCTGAGGCGCAGAAAAATTTATCGATGGTCAATAATGTGACCACAAGACTTGTTGAAATCGAACGAGAATATGAAAGCAATTTTACTAGAATTTAATCAGAGTTTACCACAATCAATGCTACTATCCAAGTTCTTCTAAGCAATATGGTTCGACATAATGTAGATGGTATTCTTGCTCAAAGAACTCAGTCAGTATCTGACGAATCTGATGAATCTGATCAACAAAGTGTGGCTAACAATTCCGTTGCTTCAAGCCAATCAGAGTCTAGCTCTTATTCCGGAAGTTCATCATCTTTTTTTGAAAATGTTGAGAGCCGTTTTAAGCAAATTTTTAATTCGTTTAAAGGGAATGATTCTGTTGACTATATGTGTGAAACTGTGGGCTGTAGCTTGTGAAATTCGTCAACTTAAAGGGAAAAAGATTGGAGGGTCTACTATAAAAAGTTTTTATTATGGGTATAGTGATTCGAAAAATAGTACAGTAAAGTTAATTAGCAAATGGTTAGATAGCAAAGAAAATATTAGTAGTTTAGATAATAATCAAGAGTAGCGGGGAAGGAACTGCCAGTATATGAGTTAGTATACATGTTGCCCAAATTATTTTGGGCTGCCGTAATTAATTATTTTGGCACTTTACATAGTAAATTACATATAAACTGAATGAATTTCGGCATCCCAAATTATAATTATGGCATTCTAAAATAATTTGGGCAGCATGTATATGAGTTAGGGCTCGGCAGGCTTATCAAGCAGGTTCTTTTATGCCTTTCCCTCCCTTGAAACATCCTGCTATTCTATCATTTTTTACTTTTATTTTTTATTAGCCGGCCGGCACTTTCTTGTGTATTACTTTATGAAAAATATAATTGTTTGATTTTTTAATTTTTAACTTTTAACTTGTGGCAAATAAAATCACTCATTTTAAAAAACTGTTATCATGAGTAGTATCACGTGTAGTTTAATATCCGGCTGATCAAAATCACAGGTAATTATTTACAGGCACGTATTACATCATTTTTTTTAGTGACTTTTGGAAAAAAATTATTTTTCTATCGCATATGGACAATCGCTTAAAGTTAAAATATCCAGGTAAGTCTACTACTTTGCACCTATTTCTAATATTTAGAACAATGAAAATATAAACTTTGATCTTTCAGACTATTGGAACCGAGCTCCAAATACTTGGGGTACCGTAAACGATTGGGACCTTTTCTGGATTAAGCAATCACATCTCGTGACAGTTAATAAACGCAATTCTCATTCAGCTTTGGCGAACGATTTAAAGTGCCTGAAAAAAATATTCGATATTAATAATCCTGCTTATAAAATGGCGTGTAACTTGAGTAGTGAATTGAAGGAAAGTATTTTTTTTTGACATTACAAATTCGATGTTGCTAGCGTACTCAATAGTTAATCTGGCAACCAAAGCGTGTTGAGAAGGTTTTTCCCATTAAGCGCAAAAACCGACAGGTAGCACCATTGCGTGTGCGTGGCTATTGAAACGTAGCTGGCATACTTTATGTCTAATCTGGCAACCAAAACGTGTTGAGAAGGTTTTTCCCATTAAGCGCAAAAACCGACAGGTAGCACCATTGCGTGTGCGTGGACATAAGAATGCTGGTCGGACGAGCGTCCGGAGCACTTTGTAAACTTCCTTCCTATCCATCATCTCAAAAGTGCATCAATCCTAATTACCTTTTTTTTATAGAATATACAAAACGACCAAATATGGGAGAAGAGTGATTTAGTCACGTCATTAAAGCTAGAGTCTGATATAATCGATGTTGAATTGGAAATTGATAGGGCAAGTATTTATTAATCTCTTTGATGCATCCTAACAACTTCTTAATCAGTTCTTGTCAAACTTTGTTATGACAGAAAAGGGGAAGGCGATCTGTCCATAAAATAACACAACAGGGATTTCAAATTGCACAACAAGGACTTCAGAAATGCGCTGATGACGAGTTTGATACAATAGAACAAGAAAGGAAAAGGATCAGAACCGGTATGTTTGACTTAAATTATTTGAGATACTGGTTATCACTACAAAGTTGCGTATTTCTAAACATTTCAAGTAGTTCCTCCTTTGCGTGGGACCATTTACGGCAGGACGATTAATGGCGGAACTAATAATATGTTCATTTCGAACAAAAGTGATCGGGAAAAGGTATACGTGAGCATTTTTTTATAGAAATCGCGATGATCAGCAGAAATAGCCAACGGTTTAACTGCAAATTTATCCCTTACTTATGTAGGATTTGAATAACGAGATCGAAAACTTCTTTCAAGGTCATTCCGAACGACAATCATCCAATTTGTTTGGGAAAGTAGAACATGACGTTTCCAACGAAACAGACAACGAAAAGGGCGAGGTAATCGAGGTATGGTATTCACATAAAAGTTATTACTATTCATAATAGATAAATTCAGAAATACATATTCATTATTTATTCAAAAACAATCCTCATATTTAAAATTATTTTTACTAATTCAAACTAAAATCCTTTTAGCCTTTTCCTTTAATTGGAAACTTAAATGAAGTTAAGCGAGATGAGTCTCTTCAACATGCAATTGAACAGGAAGCTTTATTCGAAGATGTAAAATTACAGACTCCTCAAAAGCGAGAGCAGAAAAAGATAAAACCAAATGAAAGTGATTGGGAGAGTGTGGTGTCACATGACTCGCAGTCTCAGGCTCAACAACGAACTCCCGAACGTCAATTCAGTCCATCAACTTCCGTGTCTGAGGTAATTACGTTTTATGTTTAGCATATAAAAGTATTTTTTTCTTAACTCTTTGTATGCATATACAGGTTACTGATGATGTTTTCGAACCTCAGTCGATGGGTTGGGAGTTCGATGAACCAGAGCCAACCTGGCTAAAGAAAGTAATAAACCGACAAAAGTTTTTGATCTCGCAAATGGATCCGTCTGCCAGATATGAATCGTCATTAAGGTATTTTTTTTGATATATATAAGGTTATTTTTACTTTTTGTTGCACCAAATCCTGACCAATTCTTGACTAATTCTTAGCCCGATCTGGTGGCGAATAATAGATGCCTCGGATCTAAAAAGTACATCAGATTTTCTGACTGAAGCGGACATGTCGGATCTGGTCGCCGTATTTGCATCTGCCCTTAATGTAGGCCATCCCACTGAAGATTGGACCATACTGGAACCTTCAGTTGAGAGGTGTTTACAGGCTCTTGCTAAAGTCAGTGTTGATAATTTTGCATTTTTATATTTTATTTCATTTTATTTTGTATTATTTTAATTATTTTATTGACGTACGTTTTGAATCCCAGCTTGATAACAATCATCTCAATAAGGTTGGAAAAATAGTGCCGCTCGAAGGATTTCATGGAGCTATCCTTGAAATTCAGAAAATGGTGAAGAATGTTGAGACATCAAGCTTGAGTGTTTCTTTATTTGGCGATGAAGATACGAATGATAAGGTAAAGCCAACATCTTCTGTCGAGGAAGAAGACTACCTGAACCCTGATGTGCAATTTATTTTGGACTTGATTCGATTTACGTAAGTTATTCAATTCATGTTAATTCGGAAATTTTATTATTCTGCATGTATTCCGCTTAGTTCCTTAACCATAACTTTAACTAGATGTGAAATGCTTATGAAGGGAATTCCCCAGCGGAAAAATTCTGAAAGAGACATAGATGTCTTCATCAAACGGCACCTATTTTCGTGCTTTGACAATATTCTAGACAGTCACTTGTAAGTCCCATTGTCAATTCTAAGTATTTTCATTGTTGTTAATAATACTTATAATTGTTCTTAAATAAGCGGGGAGATGGTATCAAGGGCCTCTCGAGATCGTCGAGCTGGAGCAATGGATGCCCCAGAAACAGCAGAAGGCTACCATTTGGACTGGATGTTTACGGTACACTAGATTTTGGAGAGTTCATTGTTAATATTACTTACTAATACTAACTTGAATTAACAGAAGCATGATCTAGCAAAAGATTTACCGTATGGTCGCGAATTTTCACTTTGCGAGCGCACTGGCTCTAGAATTGAAAACGAAAGAAAGATCCTTTCGAATACCTTAAAGGCTCAGAAGACGTTAAGGGACATGCATAGAACTCTGGTTGAAGCTATATCAGTTGAAGGTGGAGGAATGCTGTCAAAACAAGTATTAAGAGCTACCACCAAGCTTCTTATGCCTGGATTCTTATCTCATTGTTTTTTTATTCGCGCCTTCTTAGTTGTTTATATAGGAGATGGATTTTATTCATCAGTAATTTTGGCGGACTTTGATATTCCATCGACATATTCGGAACTTGGGTCTATCATTAAGGTTTCGCGCATTATGCTTCAGGTTAAGGTTGGTAACAATCCAAAAACCAGTATTTAAATTATAGTTTTATACTCATCTTCCTTGCTGTTTGCAGAAATTGTTGAATCTTACAGTTTGCCGTTTCAAGCTTATGAAGGAAAGGGCTTTTAAGGAAAAATTCGCTAGTGGAAAAGTGTTAATGAATGCCCAGTCACAGGAGTACCGATCACCACAGAAAACAAAAAAGAAAAAATAAGATTATCGTAGTTCATTAGTTGGGATATAGTAAACATATTAGCACTTGAATATGATGTATTTACAGACAAAGCTCATCTGATTTATAATGTGATAGTTCTTAAATGCACTTTGCAGTTTGCATACACAAGTTGAAGGGAAAACTTGGTTTGTTGTTTTTTTTAATGATTGACAAAGCGCCAAAACGTCTTCTCATCACTTGTACAGTGTGTGTTCCGAAACGGAACGCACGTGATTATTTTTCTAAGACACTAAGGTGATACAAGTATGATGTGTGCAAGCAACCAGTATTACCAGTATTCTCAGGACCCAAGGTCAGCATTATTTACAGCTATTTTGGAGTCTTGACTTTAGTTAAGAGAAATTAAAACCACCCACAGAAAAGATGGGATCTTGGGCTTTGGTTAAAAATGAGGTTAGGGATAAGACAAAATGTTCTGATGAAGCTTTGCGAAAAAGGACAGAGATCCGAAAAGATGTATAAGCTTTTTAATAGCATAGGTAAAGAAAAAATAGCCCGAATTAGATCTATTCCCCCATCATACGTCTTAAATCTAACTATAGATGAAATCAAATATGTAATGGCTGAAATCTTAATGCATAAGGTTTGATGAGCTCGGACGCCCCCTCAAAAATAATTTTTTTGGGGAGAAGGCAGGTAATCATAGACTTGAAAGAAAAGCTGGGGAAACATTTTTATCTTTTTTTGAATCTAGTGAGAAAAAAGACCTCAGCCATTTGAAAAAAAATGTATTCTAATATTCATTCATATTAATAAAGTTCGCCCCCATTTCAGACTTATATTTTTATTTGCTTTGCGAATGTGTATGTGTAATGTATTTGGAATATGTAAACAACGTTGCGAACTACTGCGCCATAAATTATCACTTGACATACTGCACTACGCCACACGATTCATTAGCCCGGACAAGCTTGTCCAGACTCTACCACCAGAAAAAATAGATTTTCGTTCACAAACATATATCTGCAGTTCTGCACATATCGGAGTTTGTTCTACATACCACTACTGAATTCCGAACATCAGGGAAAACAATTTGCCATAATGGTTAGATTATCCCGAATTTGCCTCATCTTCTGCGCAATTTTGACGAGCCCGGATAAGTTTGTCAAGACTCTACCATCAGAAAAAATAATATTTTTTTGCATGTGCATTTTATTCGTAATCATTTTCCCAAATTCCCGTTGTGCATACCCGGCTAAAGAAAAAATCTGAAATCTGATTGGCCGATCATCTCATGATTTACTAGAACTATCGAGGAACTGGCAGGGATTTAGGGTATATGTTGATGACGTAACATTGAATTCAACTCGGAATTATTAGTAAAAGTAATACAGAATAACAATATCAAGAAGCTTAAAGAAGTTTTTCTTCACAAAACCTTTTCCGTTACAACGAGATCGCACGAGATATCCTGCATATTGATCTATTTTTAAAGGCTCCAATTAACTATAGTTGTCCTTCCCATTTTCCCTCTTCATTATTGGTGGATTGATAAGATTAGGTGCATGTTATGAGAGAAATAGGAGAAACTGAGTTTAATAAGTTTCTTAGTTGTATAAATGTTTCTAGATTACCGTTCGCCTATTTCAATTGCGACGTCAACGGTCAATCCCAATATTTTTTTTTTCGGATCTTTTTCTTTAAAAAAACTTTTGAATACTTTTTTTTCAATTTTAATTCTTTGTTTCAAATTCACAATCATCAAATGATCTTGAAAGAACAATGGAACGATACAAATCACTATTTTCTGACAGCATTGATAGGTCATTTCCAGAAACTCTGTAAAGGTCCAGCCATTGGAACAGAATATGAAAATTCTAAAATCTTTTATTGCGGAAAATTAATGTATTTAAAATCAATTTTTGGAAATGTGATTAATCTATCACATTCATCATATCCTCACCTAATATATAAAATCCATATTATCCATTAATAGACACCACCGTAATATTATTTCAAAATATCTATAAAATCAACGAAATGTTCTGTAAACTTCCCAACTTCAAGTTACCGACCAGTGGTTCTTTGGTATAGTTGAGACAATTCGTTATACAATGTAATTAATTTGTTGTCATGTCTTTTATTAACTCGCTAGAAATATGAACGACTGGATAAATAGTCGCGCGAGAAAAAGGGTTTCCACTCGTATAAATACCAACAATATCTTTAAATCAATTTTCTCTATCAGCCAATAAAATTAATTGATCCAACGTGACGATCTACCGATTATGAGATTGGTATTTTAGTTCCCTCATCAGTCTTCATTTGTAAGAATCGGAAACTTATCTATATGCTTGTGGCACGTTGATTCTTATCAATGTTCGTATCTTGATTTCATTTCCTTAAAAAGCGCAGATAGATAGATATTAAGACTTCACTTCGTGCTATTGATATTTTTGTCAAAAAAAATAGTCACGATGACTGTATTTCGGTATTTGTAATTAACTATATCAGTACTTAATTTAGCCTGATTAGGAAATTGACAAGAATTACTTCTTGTTCAACTAACTGAGACACATTTACTATTGTTAGAATTCTCCATTTTGGTTAAAATTTTGTGAACGGTAATATGAATCCGGGAGCATTTACTCTACTGTCATCCGAATTTTATCTATACAATTTTTGAAATTAAAAGACGCCTTAAATTATGCAACAATTTTTTTTTTTATCATTTTATCAAAAATATTAACTTTCTGAGAAATCTAACCATTGCTAACATTGGTAATAACATTTAAATTTTATAATAATATTATTCATTTATGAGACTTATAAGCAATTAAAAAATTTTTTTTAAACCTTTAGTTGACAAAAATTGATTGATAAACATATGAATTACCTTAATAGTCTAAATCTGACTTATAATGTAAACAATTAATAGATAAATTTGTATATTTTTCCGGAAAAACTCCAAATAAATTTCTTTTGTGATTTTGTGATTGAATTTTTTTCTTTCATTAAAAGAAAATGGACAATTTAAGAAGAGAAGTATGTGAAAAAATGAAAGAATAAAGTCAGTAAATTATTATTATTAACATTTTCTTTTTGAAATATTTTATTATAGGAAGAAATTATTCGAGACTTAAAGTCCAAATTATATAATTGTGAACTAGAATTAGATGGAGTTAAATCTTTGAATGAATCGCTGACAAAAAAAGTCACACTCATGACCAATAATGAAATAGAAATAACTCACTTAAAAGCGGAAAATAGTAGATTAAGGGATGAATGTGTAAAAAGCTATCAAGAAAAAGAAGATTGTATGAGTTTGAATTATACTTTAAGTGAACAAATAAAGGATTTACAAGAAGAAGTTAATGCTTTGAAAATGAGAAGAAATACAGGTTTTGAGGGTAAGTTTGTTGTTTCTCTTTAGGTTAAAATGATTTTATTTATTTATTTATTTTCAATTATAGAATTGGTTAAGCATCCTTGCACTTGTGATTCATGTAATACTACTATAACTGGAATTCGTTATAAAGTAAGTAATCTACAAAATAACCTTTTAACCTTTTCACTTTTTTAACAAATAATAATAATAATAATTTTATTTATCTTAGTGTGGACATTGCGCAGATTTCGACCTTTGTAGTCTTTGTATAGGGACATATCATGATTATAATCATGTATTTTTAAAAATTCGACATCCCGTACATATTGATTCAAGAGTTGTTTTATTATCTCCTTTTAGATATTATCCTGGTGGTAAGTATTTTTTATTGAAAGAAATTATTTATATTTCTCATCTTTTATGTTAACAAATATATAAATTTTTTTTTTATAGGATCAGTTCATAATAGTGTTTATTGTGATATTTGTGGAAAAAGTCCAATTTGTGGAATTAGATATAAGGTAAAATAATATTAAATTTTACATTTTTTTATACTTTTAATTTTAAATTAAATTAAATTTCCCTTTCACTTTTTGATAGTGTGGAAATTGTCGAGATTTTGATGTTTGTGGTAAATGTGAAGTAAGCATAAGCAAATTACATGATGAATCTCATATTTTTATAAAATTAAATAGACCAGTTTACCCTGATGTTGGATTCGAAAATACACCACTTTTACCAAATTTCATTCCTATTATTTAGTGAATTAAATTGGTTTTATAGTAAAGTTATATTTATTTATAAGAGGAAGTAGAGAAAGTTGTAATAAACTTCAACCCCCCTTCCACACTAACCTTATTATGATTTAATAATGTTATAAGATTTCTATTGTTTCTGCAAGTCAGAGTGAGATCCCCTTTTTTTAATAATATCACGCAATCAATCATTACAGTATTATGTACGTCATTGAATTTTGTATTACATTGATTACATTAATATAGCGATGATCTATTTTTTTTTTTTTTTCTTTTTTTTTGAACATTTCATATTTCCACAGACACTATTATTGAATTTTTTGTTTGTTCTTTTACCATTAACACGTGTTTTTGATAAAATACGCGTTTTTTTTTGACTAAAAAATAAAGTATGAGTAACATATTAACATTATGGATAATAAAGAACATAATTTTTATTGTTAACTCTGAATACAAATAGATGAAAAATACTGAAAATACACAAGAAATGGCATCCTTATTCTATGAAAAGATTCTTTTTTTTATGGGAGGCGTGTTGAAACTTTTATTAATGAATAGGCTAAAGGGCAAGGTTCTTATATATAGTTAAGGATTGTGTTGTTTGAGAATAGAGTATTATGTCAATTTACATTTGTCTATATATAGTAGAACATAGGATACTAGGATAAAGAAAATGCAATACCCTTATATAAATACATCTTGTTAAAAGGTTGATCTTTTGCATACATTCTATCTAGAAAGTTGTTTCTACAATTTCACCTAAAACGACCTTCATTACAACTGTTGCCTGTGGCGTAGGTGTATTGTTGAATTCAAATTAATGAATGGGCTAAAGGACAAGGTTTTTACATAGTTAAGGATCATGTTGTTTAAGAAAATAGGTATAATTTAGGAAAATAGGATATTATGTCAATGTACATTTGTCTGTGATTATAGTAGAACATATAATTCCATATCAAATAAGGATACTAGAAAAAGAAAATGCAATGTTCTTTTATAATAAATACATCTTGTTAAAGGTTAATGAACCCTGAATCTTTTGTATACATTCATTCTATCTAGAAAGTTGTTGCTAAAATCTCACTGACAACGGTCTTCATTACAACAGCTGCCTGTGGCATAGGTGTAAGTTTGCCACTTTTGTTGAATTCGAAAAGATTTACTGGTTCTCCATTAATATCAAAAGGAACTTGGGTTGAGTTGCTTGTTGATCAACTCGAATTCCTCTATGGTTTGTTTTCTGTTTAGACGCTTTTGAATTAAATAATAAAATGTGGGTATATCATATCAGATATTATAATGATCTTATATTAAACAAATTAATGATAGATTTGTTGGCTTACCATAAAAGAGTAATCTCAAAATTAAACCATGAAAACAAGAAAACAAAAATGTAAAACAACATTGTCTCCTAATAAATGGTATGATTACTGTGTGTGTAACCAATCCTTATTAGTTGATTATTAGGAGAGCGCATCATAATCAACCATACATAACCTTCAATATACTGTAGTGGATTATACCTTCTAATTAATTGTACTGGATCTTTAATTTGCTATAATTTACCATTAGATAGTACGATTATTAATACCCATAACGAGAAAAATGTGCATTATCATATTATGATAACTATTTCCGATAAACTTATACAACTAAAATAATCCGATAATAAACCAATAACAAAATAGTAAAAATAAAATTATATTAGTGTGTATAGTACGTATATTAAACATACATTTAATATAAAATAAAAAAATTGGTATTGTTTTTAACCTCATCGGGGAAAAGGCTACGCTCTTTTTGAGTTATATTTCTCCTAATTTTTTTAGTGAGGATAGTTGAAAATAAAAATACATTTTTTACTTGAAAAAATGGTTTGTAGGAAATAGATTAATATTTATGTTTGATAATAAAGAAGTTTTAGTTGATACTACATTATATATATATACCTACTAAGTTAGAAATTAAAGCGTCGGTATAAACGAACAAAACGTTTAATGATACCGTTCTTTTCTTTTTTTTTAGGTTCGGGTCTTGGGAAATCAATGCAACATCAATTTTTTTTGTGGCTTAGGCAGATGTAATCGTGTGAAATTAATATTTAGTTCAAAGTACTATAATACTACAATTAAGAACCGGATATGTAATGTAATATAATATAAATTTTTTTATTATTTGAAACTGGAAAAGTAAAGTATCTGATTTATTTATAATAAGGTTTAAGAAGTTCTCAATAATTGAAAAGTATAAAAGTATATATATTAACAAAATAGGATTCGAATGGATTAAAAAATAATTTTAAAAAGTTATAAACTTCTAATTTGATACTAAATACAAACTGTACTTGTCTATAGTTATAATAAAATGAAGTTTAAGAAATTCTCAACAATTGTTCAACAATTTAAAAAGTATATACTGTATGTTAAACAAAGTAGGATTTGAATGGATTAAAAGTTCATTTTAAAAAGTTTATAAATTGCTAATTTAATACTAAATACAAAACTGTACTGTGGTTTTTGATATTTTATAATATTTTAAAACTATTGATTTAAAAAAATAAACTCTTTCAAGTGGAAGATGTGCTCATAACTAGTCCTCAACTCGCAACTATTGTAAAATATTTCTTATAAATATTAATTTCCACTTATTAAATTTATTTAAAAATTGAATAATTTCTCTGCAAATATTAGATATTTGCAAATAAATCAATTTGCAACTACTATAATAATATATAATGATAATTACTGATAAAATATTATTAAAAGATTCAAATCATAAGGCAAAAATCATAAAAAAAAAAAAATTTAAAAATTAAAATTAAAAGGTTATTTTAAAGAAATTACTACATATTAGTTAAATTGAATTTTTTTTTATTACAATAATTATAATTTGCTAATTGGAGTATTCTTATAATATCCTATTAAAAAAAATAAAAAAGTTTTAGATAATCACAAATATTTATAGTTCAAAACCTTTGAAATTTTTCAATAAATTAGAAGCTTTATTTATTTACTATAATTTTAATTTAAAGTTTATAGAATTTTTAAACCTTTTAAACATAAAATTTGTAATTATTAATTATTAATAATACTATAATTAGAATAAGAGGATTAGAGTTAAAAAATTATATATTATATTCTTTAAAGAAGAAACAATGACAAATATTAAAATTGACAATTATAGTTTATAAAGAATTAATTTATTCTTCTACTTTTATTTTTATAGTTTATTTTAAAACATCCTTTTAAAAACTAAATCAATATTAATAAATTTTATAATAATTGTTTTTTAGAAATAATTGGTATTGATTAAAAACTTAGAAGTAGAAGTAGAAGTATTTATTTATTACTTATTGGTTATTACATAAAAAATATTATTAAAAAATAAATGGTAATCTGATTTTTTAAATATATATAAATATAAATATATTTTAATTTTACTATTATTAATAGTTAATTAAAACAATTTAAATTTATTATACTAATTTAAATAATTATAATAAATATAATATAAAATTATATAAAAATAAAATATCAAATTATAAATAAGAATATATAATATTTTTTTTAGTTAAAGATCATATTTACTATATAATTATTAATAATTTAATATTAATATTAAAAATGTACTTTAGCCCCAATATTTTTTTTAAAAAAATATTGAATTATGGCATGGAAATATATGGAAAGAAACTCCATTATTTTATAATATATTAATATTTTAAATTTATAATATAAATTATAAATATAAATAATATTTTAATTTATAATATAATAAGTAAATAATTACAATATTTTTTTTAATATTGTTAATTTTTTAAATAAGTAGAATTAATTTTAATATTTTTATTTACTATTTCAAATTTTTAATTAAATATAATTATTTTAAAAATTAGCTATTATTTTTTCATTTAATAATTTAAATTATTTAATTTACTTATATTTTACTAAATTATATTTATTAAAAAGTTCTTCAAAAACTTTAGTATTTTACTTATTGGGAGAAACTATACACCAAATTAAAGATGTTAACCTTAATTATTTTTTAAAAAATTTTGAATTATGGCTATAAGATTTTTATAGCCTTAATTAATTATGGCATATAAAAATTTTATATTACAGCACTTTTTTGAATTATGGCTAACATCTTTATACCAAATAGTGATTAAACTTGTGAAGAAAAAAAAAAATTTTTTTAAATTATATTTCTTAAATTTTTATATAGGTAAAACTTTTAAAATAGTTTATATCTTAGAATAATACTATAATAAAGTTATCAAATATTTTGGTTTTAAAAATGCAATTTTTTCTTTGCATTTAATTTTGCGAAAACTGAAACATTGCAAATAAATAAAAATATGAATAAAATTTGAAAAATTCAAAATTTACTTATAATAATTTTAATAGGGTTTGTAATTAAAATTATTACTATATATAATATATTATTATATTTATATAATTTAAAATTATCAATATAAATATATTTATTAATTTGTATATTTTTTAAAAAAAAGAAGCTTTAACTTATCATTTACTTTTACTTTATAATAAATTATTGAGACTAATAACTTATACATGGATGCTACAGATTCATTAATTTTAAATATATCATCAATTCTTTTAAATTAATTTAGGAGTTTTTTAAAAAAAAGGATTTTTCATTGAACTGCATGCATTATTATTTATTTAAATTACTGAATTAATTATCTTTTAAAATTATATTTAACTTTATTATAAATATAAGAGTATTGATAAATTTGACATATAAATATATCATTTTCACAAACTAATTAAACATAGTTTTTGAAAATATTTTATATTTACTGCTGAAGTTATATTAACAAATAGCTGACTGATTTATAAGTATAATAAATGATATTAAATTTAATTAAATTAGTTGTATATTATTATTGTAATATAATAGTATTTATTATTAATGAAATTCAAATATTATACTGCAAAAAAAAGTTGCTATAAAGTTATAATTTATAATTAAAATAATCCATTATCAGATGAATTTCAGATATATCATATGATCATTTTTTTAGCAATAAGCCTTAATATTTGGAATGATGATCACAATAATTAAAGCTTAATAAAAGGGTGAATTACATCCACTAATTTTATAAATAAAAAAAAAAGTATAATAATTAGTAAGGTTCATATAGACTATTATTAATAAATATGACTAGAAACTTATAATATGTATAATTTGAAATGTGAATCAAAACCACCATCATATAGCAAAAATGTCAGAAAAAGGTTATAAGCATGCATACATAAAGAAATAAAGTTAGCAAATATATACACAAGGGAATAAAGTTAGCAAATATAAACAAGAGAAATAAAGTTAGCAAAAAATTCTGTTCCCCAGGCTAAAAATTAAAGTTTATGCTAAGGTTGGTCATATGACTATTTAGTTGGAATAAACTTCACGTGAAAATTTTTTCTATAATAAAGATAATCTTAAAATTAGTTATAGAAGATCGATTAACAAAATAAGACATTCAAGAAGCCAAAATTCCCTTGGAAGATTGACAATTCCGCTTACAAAAGGCTCAAATCCCGTTAATCTTTTTTAAATGAATAGATTTTAAGAATAAATGTGAAAATTGATTTTTAGTGACAAAAGAGAAATATCTGTATACAATAATTACGCTGAAATCGCCATTTTTGCTGGTTTTGGCACAATAATCAAAAAGAACAATAAAATAAATTTAATCCTAAATAAAATTTTTTTTTTAAAAAAAAAAATTGATACGACGATAATTTTAAAAAAGATTGATTAAATTCTAGATTATCGAACTGGCTTGAACTTTAGGCGTCAGTGTTTTGGTATATCATATTTACTATTTTAGATTTTTTTTATATTTAACGCAATTTTTTAACTATGTGAAAATTAAAAATTTTCATTTGAAACAATTGAAACAGGAGCTATAATATATTAAGTGAAATAAATTACGCGTGCTTCTAGCCCATTTACCTCAAATTTTAAGTTTAGTGTAACTTTCGACGCAATGATCGCATTTCGCACTGTAAATCAAACGAGAAATTTGAAACACCAAATTTTGATTAGCGAACAATGGACAACAATTATTCTAACACAATAATGACAAATAAAAAAAAAAAGAGAGAATGCATTGTTTAGATTTCCCAAAAAGAAAGATTTTATTTATAAACAAACAAATAAAGAAGTTTTCATGTTTTTTTATATATTGTTTGTAAATACAGTAATAGAATTATAATATTAATTTATTTAATATTTTAATATATTTTTTTTTAATTTTGAAACCTGCTTTATATAATCTTAATTATTCATCATATTTACTTTTACTATTCTTTTCCTCCAAACTAATAATATTTAACTAATAATATTATCAGTTATGCAAATACAAAGTAGTAATGTGTATTACCATCCTAGAGATGCATAAAGTACTCGGGTGATTTAAAAATTGCATGGGTACTTTGTGAAAGGTATATGTAAGTTTGACCAGAGTCAGGATTTATCGGTCCTATGTATGTAATACGTATAACACCCGAATCTTATAACACACTTTAAGGGGAATAATTTATGCAGTGTAGATAATGATAATAAAATATGGAAACAAAAAGGAAGGTTGTGAAACTTATTATAATGGCTAATTTTTTTTTTTTTTTTTTAGTTTTTTTTAAATACATTATTTGCATAAACAATGTTTAGCAGGACATCTCCGAAGTATTCAGTACACATCCATTGAATTCTTGGCTTGTTACAATTCATTGAGAATTATTAAGATGGACTATTGTCTTTTTATTAATATTTCACAAACATTCTTACAAGAAATTATCTTCTGTTGATCTAACTTGCAGTATCAGAAACGACGCGCGTTCGATGTTCTCTGTCAAATTTAGACTATAAATTATCACGTGAAATAGAACTTTATCTTTATATCATCTCAAATATTTCGTATTTAGCGCATATATTCAGTGGCACAAAAATAGAGTTTAATTGCAATTTTAATTAAAAAGAAAATTTAACTAATACCAACAAGTGATAGATTTGCAAATTGCAATACGTAATAATATAAATATTTATCAAGTTTTTCCGAAAAAGTTTGAATAAAATTTCTAGTAAATGAAAAAGCGAACAAAAATTTTTATTTCAATAATTTAAATTAAATGCTATAAAAATCTTCAGAACATCAATTAATCATTAATATGAAATAATAAATTTTATTCAACTCGATAATAACAGATAATAATAATAATGACTAGCAAAGATGTTTAATAAATGGGAACACAGATACTAACTTGTTTATTTACTTATTTACAGAGCATTTACGTTACACCTGTATTACCTCGTATTATAACACGAAGGAAAAAATTACGGAAACTTGTTAATCTTTTACCAAATTTATAAATTGGAGTTTTTAATGGATTATGGATTACTTCGAATTTTGGATTTGTGATAATAATAATTATGCGGGGTTAAGTTTTTTATGACTAAAAATAAAATAGTTTGCCCTTAATAAATCTTATAAATCACGATTTTTTTATCAGAATTTTTTTTTTTTTTTTTAAAAAAAATTTTTTTTGGTTTTTTTTTTTTTGTTTATCGAATCCCTTTGTTTCATAAGAGGCATATTGTTTTTGTTGAGGATCACATTACTTGTACTTACATATGTTGTACAATAAATAAATACTAATTTATACTAAAATATTAAAAAACGCCAATTCTCACAAAACTTAAAAAACAAGTTCTTAAAGAAAAAAAAAATTCCCCATTTTCCTCTTAAGTACTTTAAGTTCATAGAATCTTCCCTTTTTATATACAAATAGCATCATATTAATATTTTTCGAAGGGTTCTGCTACTTATTTATTGAGAAAATAAGATTTGAAAGTTAATATATAAATCGACTCATTGAGAATCAACAATTTGAGCATTACATTAATTGTTATGCTCTTTTGTTTTGTTTCGAAATTGAAACCAAAAAAAATTTTATTGGATTAATAGTTTGATCTCCGTTAGTCCATCAGTTGTTTGTCAAACTTCATTATTCTACGATATCACTGTCCCTTCTGCTTTCAACTTTCAAAACAATAAGATAATCTTATCTAGTTCAGGTTATAAACGTCCTGTCAGCTGTCATGTACCTTATAATTACGAGAAAATAAGTTGTGACTAAAACAAATTACATACTGCGGTTTATACATTTGTATATAAACGTCGTTGATAATTTGTAGGTAAAATTTTTATATTCTCATTCATTTAGTCTTTTTTTCCCTTTCCCCTTTTTTTCCGTTAGCTTTAGCTGAATATTTATTAAAGAAGATTAAAAATCCTTATTATTTTTTTTATCTTCTTTTAGAATTTATTTCCTCATTTATAAACATGAATGAGTCGATAAACCCAGTATCAAATTTCATAATACCGACTTCCCATTTTTCGTTTACATTACCATCCCATTCTTCTTCTTTTTCTTCTTCCTCATCTTCATCCTTACCGAATCTCTCTTTCCAAAAGTTAACTTTCAATTCAATTTCAACTTTATCATTCCAAAATTCACGATTAAACCCACAAAATGATCCACAAAATTCGCGTTGTCTTTTTACAATTATCCCTACAGAAACATTTATTAATATTTGTCAATTCCTAACTCCATGGGATTTAGTTTCAATTTCACTCGTTTGTCGTAAATTTCGTGATTATTTAACATGCCCAACTTCATCTACTACCATGGATGTTTGGCGTATTTCTAGAACAAATACAATATTTTTTCCTCAATTATCTCCACCCGAAGGTTTAAATGAAAGAGATTATTGTAAAATTGTGATGTTAGAAAAAGGGTGTCAATTTTGTGCAGAAAAAAGTAATGATGTTAGAATATATTGGATCTTTCGTGTTAGATCTTGTTGGGATTGTTTAATGGAAAGAGTTGAATATATACCACAGTAAGTATAAATCTACGCGTATCATATAAAAATTACGTAACTTTATGTGTAACTGATTAATTTTTTTTTTTTTTTTTATAATTGTTTATAGAGGTCAATCGATTCCCGATTTTACCGCAGGTTTACTATTCGAAACTTTTCGAATGCATGGTATGTTCGGACCAGAATATAAAGTCTTTTGGAAATCGGACTATAAATTATCAGAAATCGAATTCTCTAAAGTGAAAGAATCTGAACGTGAGAAATGGATTGAAGAGAAAAATTTAAAATGTAAATCACTTATGGAGGATGCCTTTAAACGTAGAAAAATTGATCAAGAATCAAAAGAGATTCATAATCAAGCAAAATTAAATAAAGTTAAATCTTTTTGTCATTTAATGATGCTTGAAACGTCACATGATTCTCAATTGAATTCTTCTCCTTCGTCAGAATTAAAATCTCGTAAACCTATTTATAGTCCTTATATACTTAGTTTATGTCCCACATTTAATGAAACTATTACCCTTCCTAATCATTTATTTGCACAAGTTACATTTAAATCTTGGAGGGATAAGATGTTACAAGATTACAAACAAATAGAAATGAAATATTCAATTCCTATAAGGTCTAATCAAATTTATCAAAAATTGTTACGTACTAAATGGTTTTTTAGTCCTTTACAACATTGGATAGTTCATTGCAAGACTTATATATCACCACCATATATTAATAATGACCCAAGAATCGCATGGCCTGAGGAATTTTTAGACAGAAATATTATACGAAAAATATTTAACGAAGCAATAGAATGCGATAAGAAGGCGGACGATGCAAAATTTGCATTACGTCATGTCGAAAGTATAATTTTTCAGAAAGTTACTAATTTAAAATCCGCGATTGCATTTGGATTGGGGGGAAGTGATGATGAAAATTTTAATAAATGCGTTAATTGTAATAATAGTAATAATAATAATAACACGGGACTCGAAATTTTCCGTTGTAAAATATGTATAGAAAACACTTCCAATTATTTATTATACTCTTATCGTGGAGTTAAAAAACATTTACAAAAACATTCATCGTTAATTGTAGAAGATAATATTGAATTAGACTATAAAATAATGTGTAATTATTTTAAAGATTATTCAAATTGCTGGTTTAAAACTGGCAATTATCCTTATAAATTACCAGATGAAATCATGCAAATTTTAAAATCTCATAGAATGCCTTGGTGGAAAAATTCGAATTAATTTATTTTTTTATTTTTTATTATTTTTATTCTTTTTTTTTTTTTTTTT